AGCGTTATTAGCAGTAGATTATATATCTGATAATTTAACCAAAGAACAAATTCTGCCTTTGATATCAGTATTAGCGACTCTCATGTTAATTGGAGCTGCAGGGTACGGAATGTCATATCTAGTGTGAGTAGAATTAAATTATGATAATATGATCTAATTTCAGTGTTGCAACAAAATATTAATTCAATGGAAAACTAAATGTTAATATTAGTAGATCATCAAAAAAACAGATGTCATAAAATGATTACTAATTTTTTCAAGCACATATTAACCATATGTGCATTAAAAATCATTATTACTTAAATAACACACTTTGCATTATATCGATTTGTTGAAAAATGTACGATTTTATATATTTTCTTGATATGCAGCAAGCTAGAAGAGGCAAGTGTTCAAGCTGAACGTACCCAATGCAAAGATAATGCTAAGTCAATTTCATCACAACCGCAACTACGGTTACATGAATTACGGGCGGAGAAGTACAATGGATTGGTTCGACTTTTAAAACCAGGCTGTAGAACTATTATTCTGCTGGTTGATGCTCAAAGTCGATTAAAGTTATTGCCAGCTTTTCATAAAGCTGTGTGGCCTTACAGGTGCGCTTTGTCACGTTTCCTATCTCAGTTAGTATTTGCGCTACATAATAATTATACAGCAGGCTATTTTATACATCAAAATTTTAATGATATACAGTAAGCTGTGCAGGAAATATAAATGAATTTTTTTTATTCACAGAAAGAATAAAACGCTCATGTTTGCACATATGTCATTAGAGAAGGGTCTTGATTGGTACAAGAAACTGTTGTCACTCACTTTATCCGAGCAGAAGGATTTAAATATAAATGCCAAGAATTGTGTAGGCACTGTACTCTCTTTGAACGGACATCGAAAGTATTTCTGCATGTACCACGCTAAACATCCAGAATGTACCAAGGGTAAAGGTTCTAAGGTATATATAGATATTTTAAAAAGCTAGTCATTAAACAATATATTAATATAATTATTTTATATCATGTACACAGCGTATTGAAAAGATGACCAAGCAGCTTGCCCGAACACCAGAAGATCCGGAAGCTGGCGCATTTATTGGTTTCGAAAGTTCTAACGAATCCGATTTGTCTCAAGATGAGGTACATAATAAAAATGGCACTGATTTTTAACAATTTTCGTCGATAATAATTGTATTTATATATATTTCTAGGGTGGAAACAACGTTTTATATCAGGACAATCTTTTAGATGGTTTACCGATGTGGCTCGATAGATTATTTGAAGGATTAACGCATCGTTATTATATAAATTATTGGCCCGAGTTCACTGCCAAGTAAAGAGAGAAAGAAATAAAACGTTTCTTTTTTTTTATATATGTAAAGGAAATTATGTCGCCTAGGGACATATATCTTGGAAAATATGCTATCTACTTTGCTAATATTAGCAGATGTTTGATAGTTTGATAACTATCATTTTGCTTCAGTCGTTTGCTTACAATTTAATTAACTACATATTATGCGCAGTTGTTTTATTTTGATAAAAAAAGAAGATTGCTTTCAGATTTATTTTTTTTTTTTTGTTATATTTGTCTTTCATTTTTTTAAAAAAAGAAGCTTTTTTACAAATAGATTTAGATATGTTGAGAAATTCTATATATATGATTTTTATTATACACATCACATGCATATAGTACATTTACAAAACCATATTTCAGCAGATCTATATTTTCGAGTGTTTAGATATATAATATACTTATATATCTTTTCTTTCTTTTTGTAAGTTATATTACAATGTTTCACATAGAAAACATGAATTTATAATTAATTAATCACAGCAGCGCTACTTAGATGATAAAATGAATATACCAATTAATACGCAAGATACCACAAACTTGATGAAATTGAATGAATTATTTCTATTTATTTGTATATTGTTTCATGAATATATATAAAAAATAGAAGTGTATTTTTTTCAGAGATGTTATCGTCGTATATGGTATATTTAAAAACATCTGCTCAATCAGATTATACATATTTGTTTAATGTGCTCAAGATTGCAGATTTACGATTCACACATACATATACAATTTACATTTAACACAATAATGCTATATTGCTAAATAACAATAATACTAAATACTATATTCAAAGTCTTTGAATAGAAATATAACCAAGCGGAAAAAAATAGATTCAATGATATAAAATAAAAAGCAAAACTGATATTAGAAATTTATTCTTGTTTGTTTAACGGAAAAACAAGAATTATTAAAAAGAGTATTAAAACGTTATTTTAAAAAACTACGAAGTATTACTTAAATTCTATAAATACATTTTACACATATATATAATACATTTTACATATATATATATATGAAATTAAAAAAGAAATAGTCATATTACATATATATATATATGAAATTAAAAAAGAAATAGTCAAAAATTTTTTTCATAAAAAGTAGCATGCAAGAAAAAGTCCCTAGGTACCACAGTCTTCTCTATATTCTATATAAAAATAATAAAACACAAAGTTCGTCTAGTCAGCAGAATATTGCCATCAGGATATATTGTGATTCTAACGGATGCAATCCTATTGAAAGACAAAACATATTCATTATTTATTCTAATCATAAGCATTGTTTATAAATCTATTTACAGTTTCTTGCATTTTAACGTTTTAGATTGATCTTTAAGTATCGTTAAAAAAATACATTAAAAAAGTTATATAGAAAGAGAGAAAGACATATATATTACCATTAGGTAGTTAATCCATCCTTCTGGATATAGATCAACATTTTCTATGTACTATTTCGTCCGTTCCTATAACTATCGGAATACTCTTTTCTCTCGAAATTGCTTGTAATTATCTAGTCAAAACATTACTAAGAATTTAGCGGTATTTATATTGCGCAATACAAGTAAATAGAACATTTATATTTCCGCAGATAGAATTATAGAATCGTGATCGATCAATCGCGATTCTCTTTACGTTCGAATATATTGATTTTACGATATAATAACGATCGGCTACTTTTAATGTCGCAAATAAAAAAAAATGTAAGTGAGTCCATATTAATACATTTATATATCCTCTAAGGAAGCATATCTCTATCGCTTGTTCATACTCTGTTTGCACAATATTCGCTTATTGAATATGTTTTTTGTCGAATCCGAATGTTAATAGCACGCATATCTCTATTTACAGGATTTATATATTTTATCTATATATAGTTACCGTAAAATCGAAATATTAGCGTGAGAGTATATATGTAAGAAAAGAAATAATTGCCCTTATCACGATTTAATATACGTCCATTGCTTTATTTCCAATCATTTTACTTCTGTATCCACATTTGTATTAGTTATTCAATATTATTTAAATAATATAAAATATTATTTAAATAATAAATATTCTCTCAGCCAAATTATTTGATATTAATAACCTCATTTGCAGGTATATTTACTCTCCTCAAGCTTTTTTCTCATTTTCTTTGCAAACCGATAGATATATAAATACTTCATATTACTATAAGATTTATGCCTGCTATGAGAAGCTATTAGAAAATATATATATTGAATATATATTATAGAAATACAAGATACCGTGTAACATGAATTAATGCTGTTAAAAGTTACATGTGTTAACTCAATCGTTTATACTTTATATCCTTATATGATAATTAAAATCGAAATAAACGCATGTAGTTTAATAATTTCTACCCTAATAATATTAATCTCTCTCTTTCTCTCTGTCTCTCATTCACGGTGTGTTTTGTATAGTGCTTTTTTTACATGAAGATTTATATTTAAGTAGACATCCAGCCATGCTCTCTTAGATACAGTGATATATATTATCAATTTTGCGGTAACTATAAAATATGCTTTTTAGATTGTTAATTATTTTTCTTAAACATTACGTGATGCTTTCAAATTAGTTTTACGAAATATGCATATATATTATTTGTTATATGTCTTGTAAAGACAATTTGATTGCGAACATAATAGATATGGAATTTAATATGGAAACGTAATAGATTTAGGAATGTTGATTATATAATAAAGCGTGTGATATTTATTGTATGTTATCTGCATTATAGATATGTATGCATGTACATATCTTTCTCAATGTTTGCCATGCACTCATTATCTAATTTATGGATCTATATAGTTTTATTGCATCTGGAAATTATACAGAGTGTCTACTGTCTGGAAAAACATTTACACAACATTTAAACAACTTTGTGGCTTCGTATTTTTCCTTCGAGCGGAAAGCATTAGAAAATGTACATAACAAAAAAAAACTTATTTTAGAAGAAATTGCATCAAAAAATCTTTAAAATATTTTCTTCCTCTGGAATTTAGAACAAAAATATCTGGAAGATCAAGAGATTTTCAGGAAACTTTTTTACAAGATTTGAATAGACATCTGTTATGAACCATCCTGGACATATTCAGGGTGATCCTGAGGACGTTTTGTGCTGTCTGGGAGATCTTGTTGTAGGATAAAATTCTCTGTAAAAGGAGAGTAAATAAATGGAGTTGCGTACTCGCATGTCATATTGATGATTTAGTATTTAGTTCATAAAGAACATTGTTCGTGATGCAAATCTGGAAAGACTTCGCGCGCGCGCGCGCGTACATTAATATTTCAAATATATCCTGTAAAAGATATTCAGAATAAAAAAGAGATGAGATTCATACATATTTAACGATGAAACGAAAGAATTGATCGATTTACATAAAATAATTTTTCAAATTTACATGTAGGGATCGAATCGAAAACTTTGATCGCGCCGCGTTAAGCATTCTGCATTCCTACATTAGGTTAGTAATTACGTTCAATATAATTATTTTTAACAAAAGTTTTTGCAATCTTTTAAAAAAATTATAAATAAAAATAGTATTCTGTATGGAATTGCAAATCAGATTTACCAAAAGAAGCTTTTGATGCATTGAAAGTAAAGAAAAGAAAAGTCAAGGACCAATTATTTCTAATCTTGTAATAGAGATGACAATACATCAATAAATGACTTATGATGATAACAAGTACTACGAATATGTTAATTTAAGTTAATGAAGCAAATAGCAACATTCCATTTTATGCCAGAAATGTTTTAGTTTCCTTAAATGAATATTGGAAAATACCTATGGGTTAATTTTCAATACATATTTTGACTGCGATAAAAAGAGTTAAGAATTAGAAGTTTTAGAATTAATATATGATGCATACATATACATACATTCCTTATTTCCGATATGATAATGCAAGCGTAAATATATATATATATATATAGGTGTTAATTTTTCAAGATTAGTCTATCTTTTGAGTCATATATTATACATTCTGTAATTAAAGGAAAAAAATTTTACGTATTAAATTCTTACATGATAAAGTTAATGCGAGAAACATTTTAGGTGACAGAGAAAACCTCATTCCTCAATTTCTTTCACAAGGTCAGAGGCAAAGAATTGACGAAATCGACCTTGTAAAGCGTGACAACAACCTAGTTGTGACAGACGCTTTCACAATATACATGCTGTAAAATAAAGATAAGATCCGCTCACTGACTGCAGAGTGTTACCTTCGAAACGATGTAAGCATTAAAATCACTAGTTTGAATTGTTAATGAAATGAAGAATAATAAAATATTTTTCTCTCCTTCTCGCATCAAATAACATAAAATAATATAAAGTTCTTCATTCTTATTAAAACCGTTTAACTTTTTATAAAGAACTTGTGAGACAAGTGTAATTTCCCGCTTAGCCTTCTGAAGAATTAAAATCAAAATACGTTAAGAGCAAGTATCACAAAGAAAACGACTTAATTAAATTAAATATGCTTAATAAATTTTTCCAGATTTGTTTTTCAGATATGTAAAGAATGTATAGAATCAAAAAATTTAATTTTTATATTAAATATAAGATAGAAAACAGTTATTAAATGTTTAATCCAACATTTTCTAATCTGTTTAGCTCTGACAAAATTTGTGACGTTTCTTTAAAAACAAAGAAAGGTACACAACCCCTTTTATTAAACATATTCTCCGACGAAAATCTCGGCAAAGTATCAGAAACATTCTTCATCGTTTCCGATTGACAGAGCTTAAAAATTGCATTTATTCGCTACATAACTTCACGATCCGTCACTTTCCATTCTCCGAGTGATAGTCGGATTCTCAAGGGTCGGGAATGCACGAGGATATGCACACATGGAGCGAGCAGACATCGCGTTATCGCGCATCTCCTCGTGCATCGCAGACGTGATACGTATAAAACGCCGATGAGCAAAATTTTTGGCTCTCTGTTACGCGCGCACCGTCACGATGCCATTGTCGACATATTGTCGACAACGATGGATTTTCATCGCGATAATCTCTTTGAACTTTTGTTTCTCGTTGGTAAATACGTTCGTCAAACCCGACGACAATCCCGATATCACGCTCACAACAGTAAGTAGACTCTCACGGCTTTTCACTGTAGATAGATAAGTATAAATAGATATAATTGTCGTAATATAATTTTGGACCGCTGCCCAAGTATAAAACATGCTGCAATAGTGAATGGGATCTTGAATGTCAATTAAATTTTTACGTAATAAGCACATGAACTTACTCTTTCCTTTTATCTTGACATTTATGCTTGACATTTAAATGTGTATGTTCTTCAAAAAAATAGACTATAATGTCTATAAAGCGACCAAAGATATATCTAAATTGCGCTAATAACTTTTAGAAAATTAGAATTTTTTTCATGACTATATCTTTTACGCATCTTTAGAATTAAATTTTTGTTAAAATTAATTATATCCAAAATTGGGAAAGAGCTACTTTATAAAAGTAACTCGTTAGTCTTACTTATTGTTACCCATTTTAAAAATAATGATTCGTACAATTTCTGTACAATAATAAATTGTTACAAAATTTTCGTTACTTGTAATGCTATTACAAGGCCAAAGTTATACAATAAAATACACACACATATAAAATTTACATTTGTTAAATATTAATATATATAATTTCGATATTGATATTGCGATCAATATACCTTATGGTGTATAATAATTTTGATAATAATTCTAAATATTAATATCTTCATCAGAAAAAATTTATTCCAAAAACATTGCAAAAAAAAATCTTTTTTTCTTAGGATCTTATTGTAAATAGGAACGCACAACTTCTGTAAGTAAATAAAAGAGTATTTTCTATAAATAAAAGAGTATTTTCTTAAAATCGTAATATAATTAATCGTACGCTTCTAATTTTATGCAATTTCAAACTCGTGATATAATACGCTATTTTACGAGTCAAATTTGTTTCTCTGTTAAAGTTTATAAAAATTACGCATAATGTATTTTAAAATAAAAATCGTTAAACATCAAGATTGATCAGTAATTTTGAAAAGAATTTAAATTGCTTTTTATGTGTATTTGTTTGCATATATATATATTCCTTCACAGCTTTAATTCAATAAAATGTAGTAAAATTAGAATATAATAAATGCTATTATGCATCTTTTATGTATCGGATAGCCCGAACTGGTGACAAAATATGGGTACTCTGTGGAGATTCATGATATCCTTACGGAGGATGGCTATGCTCTGCAATTGCATCGAATACCGCGCGGCCGGGATGATAAAAAGGAAGTAAGATCCAAGATAAGAACGCCGATACTTTTGATGCATGGTCTAGCAGGTAGTTCCGCCGATTGGGTCCTTATGGGACCTGAAAAGTCCTTAGGTATGCTTATGCAGATTTTTTTTTCTCGGGCTGTTAAAAATATATTAATATAAAGATAATATTAACATTTGTTTGAACGAGATAACATAATGATTTATTATTTTTAGCATACATATTAGCCGATGCGGGTTATGATGTATGGCTTGGAAATAACAGAGGAAACATTTACTCGAGAAATCACATCTCGCTATCGCCGACTGATCGAGCTTTTTGGAATTTTAGGTAGCTGAAATCCTAAAAAAAAACAGCCGCGTAATTTTGAGATAATGAAAAGAATGTTTATCATATAACTCCCTTTTACTATATTAACCCAGTGCGTCTTAAAATTTATGATATTTAGCTTTCTTGATAAAGTGCAAAATTTAAAATAAAAAATTTTTAATTTTTTTAAATAATTTTTTT